TAAATGAAAAAGAATTTTTTAAGGAGTTTGCAAGAGAGTTAAAGCTATTTTTTAATGTATCTCCGTTAATATTAGGCTTATTGGGTTCGTTTAGACCTTGTTTTGATCGGAGAAATGAGCTCTACAACTTTTCTTAGGATTATAAAGTAGGTTGTAAAGCTAGTTATAGAGAAATAATTAAATAAAGAGTTTAGAAACCCAAAGGCCGTTATTGTAATATTAAACTGCGAGTTTGAGAGCTATCTTTTTGAAACTTTCAGAATATATGTATAATTAGTAGCTGAACAAGTTTACTTAAGACGCCAAAGTTAGTTATCTTAATAAAATAATTAGATATTAATGATTTTAGTACTGACGAATTTTTAGTTATTTTTGTGTAAAAATGATTTATGAAAAGAGTTTATTGATTTTAAACTATTAATTTTAATAATTAACTACTATGTTATTAATTATTAAAATTTTTAAAAGTTGATGCAAACTCTTTTTTAAGAAATATTTATTTAAATAGAAGGCTTAAATTGCAAAAAAATAAAGAACTTGGTATTATATTTAAAATTAGTAAAAAAAATAATTTAATATAACTAAAATTAATATTTTTTTTTAAAAGTTCTTAATTTAGTAAAGTAGAAAATGCTAATTTCAAATACAATATTATTAATTTATTTTATTAATATTATATTTAGACTCTTTAAACATAAATAAGTTTATATAATTAAGCAATTTTTTTTAAAAAAATGAAAAGTTAATTGCTTAGCCAAATTGGCAATTTTTATTAGTTAATGCTATCTTAAGAACATATATAGTAGGTGTGAGTTCCATAGCTTAGCAATTAAGCTCCCATGCCCTCACAGTCAAGGTCAATAGTTCAAGTCTAGCTGGAGACAAAAATTAAAAAGATTTTAGCCTCTATAACCCAATAAGGAGCCAGTAATTGAATGCGAAGCCCTGTAGTTAAGTTCAAGTGCAGTACATGACTGAAGTAGGAATTCCCGGAAGGGGACCCAATCATGGAGTGTAGGCACTATGTGTAACAAGTGGTTGTTACAGAAGGTTATGGTTATGAAAAGATTGCATATATAAGTCCTTTAGGCTAGGGCAGCACCAACATCTCTACACCTTCTAATTAGGCAGTACCAACATCTCTGCATCCAACTTGTGGGGTACTTGCTTGGAAGAATAATTAACGGATTGTGCAAATAAGTCCTAATTGGGACCCCAAGAAAAGAATTTGATTGAGAGAGTAGTCGGAAATTAACCAAAAACTGGAATGGTAAGAGAAGCAGTGAACATGAGAACAGACTATGAAAAAAGATTAGTCTTATCAAAATTGGAAGCATCTCTGGCACTGTGGAATGTCCTGATATTGAAGATAGCAAATGTATAGAGGAAGTAACCTGTTCTGTATATCTAAAGGTACCAAGCTGGAGCTCTGGTCACACCTATATAGAAGTCTATGACAATATAAGAATGAACGTACCAACATGAATGCTACACCAATTAAGGTTGAGATATCCCAAATTGGAAGTAATAGTAATATTACAATGGTGACAGCTAGAAGAGATAACTCACACAACAGGTTCAGACTATTACTATAAAAGGGAGTACTAAAGGGGCAGATTAGTTGCACAATTCATTAAAAATAACGCTAAGACCAGAAGGGTGCAAACCAGTAGCAGCAGCAGGAACCTGGCTTGAGATACATGCTACTAGTACCTGAATTAGGAAAGTTAGCAGTGGCAGCAGGACTCTGGCTTGAGATATGAACTATAAGGCATTGTTCTGGCAGACCAAAGATGATAGCTCATAAGGAGTGAACAACTCAGTAGACCAATTTGGAAGTTATTTAAATGGGTTGTGAGACATGGGGAGAATATGCAGGTTATCTAATATAGATGGATGTAAAACAAAAATCCAGGTTATGTGTAAGTGGGATACAAGATTAGCTCTGGTAGGTTTAGGTCGCAGATAAATTAGTCTGAGTCTCATCTCTTAATTAGACATATAGTAATAGATAATGTATAATGTAAAAAGTTGTACAAACTGTAACAATATGTTTGAATAAACAGACCTAAGGCATGACCTCACCTTAACTTCAAAAAAAAAAAAAAAAAAAAAAAAAATGTTTTTCTAAACAAAATACTCTTAGTTTTATAAAATAAAAAAGTTAATTGTTTTAATAAACTTTTAAGTAAATTGTTTATAATTTTAAATATTTAATTATAAATTTTTAAATCAAATCAAATATTTGTTAAATTAAATCAAATTTGATCATATTTGAATTTGATTTAAAAATTTTAGATTTAAATTTAATTTGAACTCAAATATTTGATCAAATCAAATCAAATTATAGAACTCTAATCAGATATTTTATATTATCTATTTATAAAATCTTATTATTTTTAATTTTTATCTAATATTTTATTAATAATAAATACAATAACTTCTAATTATATAACATTTTTATTTTATTTATTAATTTTTATTTCTAGATTTTTTTAATTATTTAATTATCTATTTAAAATATATTTACTAATCTAATTTTATATATAATTCATTTATTTATTGTTGTTATATATATTATAATTTGTTTTTTTAAAATAAGTATATTTGTTTTGTTTATTGTTTATTGTTGTTTATTAATTATATATTATATAAATCTTTAATTTTGAGATTAAAATTAAATTTTCAAAAGTTTTAAGATTTTTATCAAAAGTTTCAAAATTTTGAATTAGAATTTAATTATTTTTTTTTTTTTTTTTTTTAAGATAACCTCTTTGGTCTTTTGATTTTTATTAATTACTTATCAGTATTGTGGTTCAATGAACCACTACAGGAGAGCATACAATTGACTATACATATAACTTTTCTATATTACTTATTTAAGGAGTCTGCCTAAAGGTTCCCTATCAATTACTGTACCTAACACCCCTGCTTGGGTATTCTACTTTAAACCCTCTAAACCTGTAATCTGTATTAATATCACTGGTTATCTCAGATATATCAGATCATCATCTTCAAACTTAGGACTAATTTATCTTTAAGATAAACCTCCTAGAGCCTTCTGTACTCATTTTTATAGTTGACCTAGATATCACTATGGCAAAACCAACACTTGCAGTCAGGACTAATCATTAAACCACTATGTTCTTGTAGAGTTTACTTAAACCCTAGTATCTACTTCATAGCATAACCTCAGTACTTTAGTATACCCTGTCTTTTTCTCTACCCTTTTACCAAACTCCCAATCCAGATAGCCTATGTAGAACTATGACCAGTCCATTAGTATATCAGGTCAGCCCAATATCCTTTTTCTTTAGTTCGTTCTGATGGTCTGATTGATGGTATCTCTAAGACTTCCAACCCAAAGGTTCTTGTCTGTCTAGCTACTAGGACTAGATACTAAACCTGAGTATTCATTTTGCCAAGCTAGCCTTTATAATAGGACTGTCAAAGATTCAGCTACCTCTTTAATCAGGTCTTCTTAAATAGACTTCTTGTTACCCAATTTTAACAGATTTACATAATCACAAGAACTTATTTAGTATTTGCATCACCTGATTTGTCAGTTTGCATTTCTCTGTATAACTCCAACATTGCACAAATGCTCCATGACCTGCCAGTCATGCTGGTGCGACTGCCATTACAAGTATCCTAACCCAATCATTAGTAATAGTTGCTATAATACGAATATTACATAGGTGATTATCTAAATTTTCACCATCGATGGGATTTGAACACCCAACCTACCACTTGGAGAGTTGACAACCTGACCACTTCACTAGGGCACCACACCCTCTTAGAATTTAATTGTTTTAGTTTTTAAAAATTATTATTCTATTAAAATATTTGTTTTTTAATATATCTAATTCTTTTTTTTTAATAATGTTAATAAAATTTTCTAATCCAGTTTTTGATGTTTTTAATAATGCAGATCAAAATAATATACTATATAATACACAAATTGAATAAATAAATAAAAGGTGAATAATAAGTAAATAACAAAAAAAAAATCTGTTATTATTTTATTTTATATTTGTCAAATAATGACAGTATAATAGCAACATAATAGCAAAATAACAATAAAATAACAGAAGGTTTGTCAATATAAGTAACATAATAGTAACATAATAGCAAAATAATATAACAGTTCTATTATTTTACTTTTAGTCTTTGTAACTAAAAGTAAAATAATAAAACTGTTCTATTATTTTACTATTATGTTACTTATATTAACAAACCTTCTGTTATTTTACTGTTATTCTGCTGTTATGCTGTCATTATTTGACGGATATAGGGTAGAATAATGGCAGATTTTTTTCTGTTATTTACCTATTATTCATCCTTTATTTATTCATTCAACCTGTAGTATTTAAAAAAACAAAATTAAAAGTTATTTGTAATACAAATAACTTTATATATTATATAAGTAATATTAAAAAACTTATCTATACTACAACGAAATCTATAATTAAATAATTTTATTAAAAGAAATAATAATTATATTTGTTGCTTGAATAGTAATAGTATTAAATAGATTTTTAATATTAAATATTATTATTGAAATATCATCATATTTTGATCACTATAAATGCATAATTAAACAGTGATTAGAATAACGGGTACACAAAATATATTTTCAAAACCACGACAGGATTATTTATATTACATAACAATAGCCAATTCTAGAACGGGCATCGCTAATTCGTTATATCTAAGAATGGGCATGATCTTCATAATTGTCCCTTTTTTGAATCCACAAAGTATATAAGTAGCGGTTTTTTTTACTCAGGCCAATGTACTTTCCCGCAATCCTTTTGCTCACAAGGTACTTAAACATAATATTTTATTTTTATTTTATTTATTTTATTTTTTTGCCTAGATAATAAAATCGACCAGCGCAAATCTAAACGTAATTATATATAGTCTTACAAAAACTGCTGTTTATGATCTAGGGGGGGGGATACAACAACCAAATAATTATAAAAATTAAAACATGCATAAATTTACAGGACGTGGAAAAGAGAGTAAGGGGTTAGGTAAAGGGTTAGGTAAAGGTGGAAAGGTATCTGCTCAGCGGCATAGGGTAAGAAAACCGGTTTAATTAGTCACTGAAATCCCTAAACATGTATGGGATAAGAGAAATTTGCTACGTTAATTATGATAGAATAATTAATCAGATAATTTGTTAACCATAGAAACTTTTACGCGAGAATATTAAGGGTATCACAAAGCCGGCTATCCGCAGACTTGCCCGTCGTGGTGGTGTAAAACGAATATCAGCGGGCATATATGAAAATGTGCGTAGCGCTTTAAAAGATTTCTTGACAGATGTTCTTCGGGATACAGTTTCTTATGTTGAATATGAACGAAAGAAAACTGTTACTGTAATGGAGATATTATTGGCTCTTAAGCGGCGGGGGAGAACAATCTATGGTTTTGATCACGAAATCAAGGGTCGAAAACCTCATCATTACTCTTAGGTTGCAACCAACTCTTTTTTTTTTGAATGGCATTATTACGTAGTTTGGGTTTGAGAAACAAAGATTTCTAATTTATTTGGATAATAACCCAACCCAAACCCAAACACGTATATACACTCCATTTTCAGAAATTCAAAAGCCGGTGCATTTAAATCTTTAGTTTCATTTTCAAATTGAAAACTTAAGAGTGATTTAGCAACTAAGCCGAATTATCAAATAAATTGGTGTGTTGGGTCTAACAGTTATATCGGAAATGCGTGCAATGTATAAAAAAATAATTATAAAGGTGAAAGCTTTTCACAACCAAATAAACTTCAAACCATAAATAATAAGCTTTTCAACCATGTCTCCTTTGAAATTCGAGAAATGCATAATAGTAATTCAGATTATCTGCAAGATGATCGAAATCAGAAGAGTATTATAGCATTCTTAGTAAATGACACAGTAATCTGCAAAATCAATAATTAACGAGTATCAAATTGTTGATCGCGCCAGGTTATACCTTATCGAATATTAGATGCGCCATAGCATTCAATTTAGTACATTGGAATTTCACTGACAAGTACTCTCCCCTGAAAATTAGCAAACAAAAAAAGAAGAAAATAATACTTACCTTCGATGTCCTTACTGGCGAAATGCAACAGGTTTTTAATATTGACTAACCGGCTAAAATAGCAACTAATTACCGGTAATAGTATAATCTGTTTAAAAACCAATGTTACGAAATCTTTATTACTTTAACATCGTTATTCGTAGCTGTTATCATTTATTACATTTTACGTAGTGATATGTTACCTAAATTAAATATTTCGTTTTTATATAATAAACTTATTCATTTTTTCGTAGCCAACCTACTATTTATTGATTTGTAATCATTCAAGATCGCTTGACAAAAAAAAATAATAATATTTTAGAGAATCCTAAGTACGATAATAGAGAACCGGTTAAGTGCGTAGCAACTTTTTAATTCTACTGCATGTAACCCGTATTATCCAGGATGAATTAAATGCATCAAGACTATGAATTACCAATCGTAGAAGCACACTTTCTTTGTCACATTATTCTTTTAAATAAATAGATAGATGCCTTCTTTAGAGTTGTCTTCGTTGTGGGTGCTGTTATGTGAGACCAGTGGTCCTGAATCCACCCTTTACTAAAGACTACACCTAATAATATTGAAATCTCCAATTCGTTCTTAAAATATTGACTAATAAACCCTAAAACACCCTGTATCGACATATGTAATTTGCAAATTAGAACATAGAGCTTGATTGCTTATGCTTCCTTATATTAATCAATCATCTTTAAGGAAAATAGAATCGAGATGTCATACTAAATATTTCTTGCTTAGTCTTATCGTTATGTAAATAAATTTGATAAAAATATTTTCCTACTCTAGTACAAAAACAGATTTAAATTTTTATAAATAAAATTTTGACTTTCCTACTCTAGTACAAAAACAGATTAAATATATGTAGATGTTAATTTAAACATCCTCAAGAATAAAGAAAATCCCGATAAAATTGATTGGTTTAAAGGAGTTCTGGTATCCAAGCTAATTCTAACGTTAATCTTTACGCTGTAGGTCACGTGAAAACTCGATATGACTATCGCTATCGTTATATATAGTTACACTACCATTCATTTTCGAAACTTTTCTAGTCGAATTTTTTCAATGAATTTACAGCAAACTTTATCAAAAAATACTTTAAAAAAACTTTTAAAACAACAAAAATGGGAGGAGACACGCCAAGAACGAAAAGCTGCTCAGAAAGAAAAAGATAAAAAAAAAAAATTGGAAAAAAGGAAAGCCATGGAATTAGGTATATCTACCTTTACATGCTTAAAGTTTGCTGTCTATGTTGATAACGACTATCACTTGGATTCATTAGGACTCGTACAACTACCACTTAAAAAACCAAAACCTAAACAAATTGCTAGTAATATAAGGGTGGTGATTGATTTGTCTTTCGATTCGTTGATGACTGACATGGTAATTTTATATCTTTCCGTGTTCTGAATTCCGTTCTAAATTACTAACATTATCTTATTTAATTTACAAGGAAATTACATCCGTATCTTCACAATTGACTCGTTGTTATGCTGCCAATCGGTCTACTTCGCGTCCTGTAAATTTATTTTTTACTTCATATGGTCAACGAATTCAAAATCGTTTCGATACAAAAATCCAGAGTCATATAAATTGGAAAGATGTGATATTTGATACTAAGTCATATTTAGAACGTTTCGATAAAAATGATTTGGTATATTTGACTGCTGATGCTACCGATGTGATAGATGAATTAAATGAAAATAAAGTTTACATAATTGGTGGAATAGTTGATAAGAATAGACATAAAGTATTTTATGCACTAATGTATTATCTTGTTTATATATATTCTACTTTCTTATTGATCCATTTTATTTCTTAGAATCTCTGTTACGATAAGGCAAAAGAAGAAAATATTGCAACTGCTCAATTGCCCATCGAAAATTGTATTAAATTGACTACAAGGAAGGTGCTCGCAATTAATCATGGTTAGTGTTATTATCTTATTAAATGTCATGGCTGATAATGACACTGGCTGATGCTGACTATTCGAATCTACTAAATTTATTCATATATTGCTCTTTTATTAATAACTCTTAAATTTTAGAAAACTTTAAAATTTCTTATTAAAATAGGATCAATTCTTGTATCAGCCAGTCTCAGGATCAGCAGTAACATCAAATATTTATTTTCATTGCCATTCATCATGTATCCTAATTCTATATTTTATGTAATCTTGCTTTAGTATTCGAAATCCTCGTCCGATGGTTAGAATGTAAAGATTGGCAAAAAGCTTTTCTGGAAGTGATACCTCAGAGGAAATTCAATGATGAAGGAAAGAAAAAAAGGAGAATAAGAAAAAATGCCGGTACGATTGACTTAAAGGATGATATTCCAGATACCGTGCAAGATGGTCTCGCGAAAGAATATGAACCTTCAGAACAGATGTAACGTTATTTTGTGGTATACAACGTTTAATCTTTTCCGTAGAGCTCCGGGTCATTTAATTAACCCGGGTGACCGTTGACCCGGTTGATCCATTGATCCAATTAAGACAGCATAATTAATGGCAATTAAATCAATCAAATATACGAAACCTCTTTATTATCACTATTATTATCACTTAACAAGTGTAACGGTTGTAGCAGCTAGATGATTCACGCATTTTTACATAATTGATCTCATTACCATCAATTTTTGCAAACCATTCGACTAAGGTCTCAGAAAATAAAGTGTAAATCCCTCTTTTTCATTAATATTATCTAGTCTAATATGAGGTTTGGTTCAGCTTGAAGTAATTTAATGGTTTTTGATTATTAATCAGACCTCGCGAAAAGCCTTGATTTCTCCCCAAGTTCTGATTGGGTCATGCAAATTCCGTCTTCGATTGAACAAAGTATATTAATGTTAAGTTTGGGTGTAATGAACCCCCAATTTTTTCAACAAAATCGCCAGTAGCTCGAAAATTTGCCTGCGAAACTACCTTTCGTGTACTGATAAAAAAAACTTCCCTTACAACTTTTAATATAAGTAGTTGTTAGTCGACCTTAATTCTGACCCTTTATTATTTAAAATACAGTCATCATTCTTTACAGTCACTTCCTATATAATCACACCCCACCAATATATATGTTGTGCCTCTTGCCTTAGGTGTCAATCGGCCTAAATTAGAGTAAGGATTAGGTTATAGCTTAGGCCAATTAATGCCGATCAGTTTATCACTGCCGAATCAAAACTTATGAAACCAGTTGTATGAAAATTAAAAAAAAAAGCCGGCCGATCAAAAGTTTCATGTTATGGAAACCAGGATATTAAATTTGTGTGGCCTTACTATTAAAATTTATCTTTTTTATGGTGTGATTATGTATATGTAATTGATAATTTTTAATGGTGCTTGATCCAACGTCTGATGTAATCTGTTATCTTTCATAATTCCTAACCCTAATATATAATACCGGATCAGTGTGGTACGAATTTTAAATTTTGTTACCCGATGTTTAAAATGTAAGTAGGATTCGATCTCGCAAGCAAGCATCTAGTATGTTTGATAAAATAAAACATTGCTAATAAAGCGATAAATATTCGAAATTCAAGATATTTGTCCTTTTTTTATACATTTTCCTTCGCTTCTCGAAATATTTAGTTAGCATGTATTCACGGCAAGAGTTATCTAGCCAATGAATTTTCTAACTTTTACGGTAATTCACGTGATTGGTGCATTCACATTCACACTATATTTAACTTTTCTTGTTTACAGTTTACATAGTAAGTTCTTACAATGTCTAAACAGTACAAAACCGTTGGTGAAGATGTTTGGAAGAATCGTGTAGAAAAGATCGTAAGCACTCTGCTTAAACATAAAATTTGATATATGTTTGTTCTTGTCTTTTTTATTTATGCTTTATTTTGTTAATAGAATGCAGAGTTATTTACATTAACCTATGGCTCTGTTGTTGCTCAGCTTGTTAAAGACTATGAGGATTATCAAGAAGTGAACAAACAATTGGAAAAAATGTGCGTTCACTACCAAAAAGTTTAATTAGAGAATTCTACATTATTAATAAACAATCATACAGGGGCTATAACATTGGAATCCGGTTAATTGAAGACTTTCTTGCAAAGACGACCAACAATCTAGGACGATGTACAGATTTTCGAGAAACTGCAGAAGTGATTTCTAAGGTTTTATCCGATATTGAATAATGAATTTATTATAATTGACATAAAATAACTATCTATACTATTGTTCTTGATCAGGTTGGTTTTAAAATCTTTTTGAACATAACACCAACGATATCAAACTGGTCCGCAAATGGAAAAGAGTTTTCACTCATATTCGATGAGAATCCTTTAGCCGAATTTGTAGAATTACCTGATGATGGAGCTGGCGATGAACTATGGTACTCTAATATATTATGTGGAGTGCTTAGAGGAGCCTTAGAAATGGTAATTGATTAAAACTAATAGTAGAATTAATGGATAAACTTTAATTAAGTTCTTTGTAAAAATATAAAAATTGTTTCAGGTCCAAATGCAGGTTGAAGCAAATTTTGTTAGTGATGTGTTACGAGGTGATGATCAAACTGAGATGAGAGTGAAACTGATTCGATATCTTGAAGAGGAAGTTCCAGCAGGAGAGGATTAAAAACGAAATCTGCCTACACCAAGGTTATAACCCAAATATTTCTGAATGATGTTATTATTATATAGTTTGGGTTTTGTGAATTGGAATTTCTATTTCATTTGGGATAATAATCAAATCCCAAATTTATGTCAAACTCAAAAATCGGTCAAATTTATTAAATTAATGCTATAAATTATTTCACTTTCAAATTGAGAACCTAAGGGTGATTTAGCAACTAAGCAGGATTTAAATAAATATGTTGGGTCTGACGGCTTTATTGGCAATGAATACGATAGATGAAAAATAATTATAAAAATGAAAGTTTTTCACGTCTAAAATAGCTTTAAATCATAATTAATAAACTTTTGACCAATTTCTTCGAAATTTAAAGAAGTGACTTGATTTTTTATCAGTTGTGCTTTTGTGTAGCCCTCCATGATAAATAAGTTATTCATGGTCATGATTCAGTTTCCAGTCTCGAACCGCCACCGAGATTCATTCGCAGGAAAATCAAAATCAGAAGAGTATTATAGCATTCTTAGAGAATTAACAAGAAATATATAGAAACAAACTAACGAGTATAGAATACTGGCGAGCGGTCACAGAATATGTCCCATGATCTGCAATGTAATATTATTTTTATTTTCCTAAATTTAATATTATTAGTATTATATTTTATTTCTTTTTTTAAAAAATAAATATTTTTTTTATTGAAATAATTTATTTTAAAATATTTTGATAAGTATTGACAAAATTTTTAATAAGACTATAATATCGTAATAATAGAAATAAGTTTAAAATAATAAAAATTATAATTGCAAATTTTAATAATTAGTTATTAGGTTTTGTGGTTTCAAAAATTAGCTAAAGTCTCAATTCAATATTGATATATGTTATTTAGTGTTTTAAATTAAAAATTAATCAATTAGTTGATCAAATTGACAACTATAATTTAATTAGATAGCTATTAATTAGTTGTTTTGTACAATACTATATTTTGATTTTAAAAAATATATAATATAAGTAAACTTTTATTGTATAATTTTCACATAGCAATTTAACTTGTTGTTTTTATATTAAATACAATTTTGCATTTTATAAATTTAATATAATATGTTTATAAAAATTATATTTATATATGAATTTTTATAAATTAAAGAATATTAACTTAAAAATAATCAAAAAACAACTTTTTTTATTGATTACCAAAACACAAAGCTTACAAAAAAGAAAATCAAGTTTATATAAAAACTAGCATTAAAACTACAAATAAAAATTTAAACAAAAAGAAAAAGTATTTGAAATAAACTTAGCAGATATAGCTATAAAGAAGAATAAATATATAACAAATAGAAAAAAAACAAACTTAACTAAATGATAATCAAAAAATAAAAATTTAAGAGTGTGGCAACTTAGTAAACTGAATAAGTTGTCAATCTTTAAGTGGTAAATTAGATGTTCAAATTTCATTGATGGTAAAAATTTAAATAATTATTTATATAATATTTGTATTACAACAACTGTTTTTAATAATTAGGTAAAAATATCTATAATAGCAATTGCATCATTATATTTGACAAGTTATAAAGCATTTGTGTAACAAATTATACAAAGAAATATAAACTATCATTAGACAATACAAACACTAGATAAGTTCTTAAAACTATATAAATCTGCTAAAATTAGAAAACAAGAAGTCTATTTAGAAAAGACCTAAGTAGAGAGATAGTATAAATCTTTAATAATATTATTATAAAAACTAAATCTAAAAAACAAATATCAATATAGAGAAATTGAATAAGCAAAAACTCCAAATAAGAAGTACTACTAATCAAATTATCAAAAGTTTCAAACTAAAGAAAAAAAATATTAAAAAATAAAATTCTAATATATTAAGAATAGATCATAGTTCTTTTAGACTATCTGAATTAAGAGTTTAGTATCAAAAATAGAAATATATTATAAGTACTAGAAATATGTTATAAAATAATACTGGAATCTAGATAAACTTTGCAAAAACAAGTTCTGTTAATAGTAACTAAATATAGATAGTTAGTTAGCAGAAGACTTTCTAAAGTTTTACAGTTAGATGATATACTTTAAAATATATAATAGCTTAACAGATATATAGACAAAAAAGTCAAGATTAGATTAAATAGCACTTAGATATACAAGAACTTGTGTAATTATTTGTCAGATATAGTATAGAGATCAGACTGTTTAATTAAGCAATCTTCTAGTAGATTACAGATATAATAACTAGTGTAGAACTTGTAAGTAAACTACTTAAATAAATAGCTAAAAGATATATATGTAATTAATTACATACTCATATTGTATAAGTTATATAATTATAATTAAATCACAATTAAGATAGTAGTTATTGATAACTAATGTCTTTAGTAAAAGCAAAAAATAAAAATAAAAAAAATAATATAAAATAAAAATTTAAGAAAAAAACTTTAATCTGAAATTGTAAATCTATTTGAAACACATAAGCATATAAAAAAATAAATAAACAAATATATACAGAAATAGATAAAATAGATATATAAAAATCTAAAAAAAGATTTGGCATATGTAGAAAATATATAAATACAAAGTTTGCTTAAATATATTAGTAACTACAGAATAAAAGTAATTAAATATATAAATAATAAGAAATTAATTAAAGTTTTAAAGAAGGCAAATCATCAAATTCAAATAATATAAAACTAATAACAAAAAGCCTAGTAGTTGAAGATGTAAATAATATTATAATATATGACTTGCTCTTATATAGTTAGATAATAGCATTACTAAGAAAACAAAAAACATATGACTACAA